GTGGCTCTCAGTTCTTCCACAGTTACCATGTGTCGGGAACTGTTTGAAATGGTTTGTGTACACCATCTGAGAGTCATAGTATTATAACACCCATCTTACCGAGGGAAACAAGCTCAGAAGAGCTAAGTAGCAGGACAGAGGCCAACCAGCAAGTGTGGAACCAAGGAAACAGTGACTCAGAGAAGAGACAGTCTTGCCCCAAAGTCACACAGCAAATCATAGGCAGATGCAGGTTTAAACAGGACTTCAGTGCTACATAGGACTTTCCTTTATACCCAATCCCAAGCCCYCAGCCCAGCCAAGACACATTCAGGGATGYAGCAGGCCCYACACTCCCCATCTGTGTGAGTTCTTCCTAGAAGCTCACCCAGGGCCAGCCTCCCCTTCCACAGGCCCACCTCATAGGCCTCCACATGCCCCGGGAAGTAGCTGCTTCCTTTGATGGTCTCATCACCAGCCAGGTCGATGGCCACCACAGTATGATGCTGGTACTTCTTACACAGCTCCACCACTTCCAGGGACCAGTCTGTGGTGAGACGCCCACCAGGGCTCCATCAGCAGCATGGTGGAGCRGGATCCCTCAGCCCTCCTACCTGCTGTCCTATGCACCCATTGGAGGCCAGCACAGGACAAAGATCCCAGTGTTTTTTCTCAAATCCTGGCTGCTGAGTCAACCACATGGCCTTTGTCAAATTACACTGCTCCGCGCCTCTCACTCCTCCCTTCCCAGAGAGAACCCACTACCTCTACACAGGGATCTGGTGAGGCTTTGCAGAGGCCATGTATAAAGTACCAAGGACAGAGTCTGAGCTGTTCCCYCACTCAGTGCCAATCAGTCCCCCCAATTAAAGGGGATGACACAGAGCTTAACATTGTATCTCCAATGCAACTCACACTGGTATTGCCAGCCATACCACGAATGCATGTGGTACCCTCAGCTGTCGTCATTATGATGTGTTTACAAAGAATCCATGAACACAAGCTTCAGAACCACACAGTTCTGGATTTAACTCGGGGCTTTGTGCCTTCCTGAGGGGACAAGAGCCTTCGCCTTTCTCTGCCTCGGTTTCCCATCTGTCAGATGGGAATAAACCACGTAGTCCCACCTCAGAGCTGCTGCAAGGGCTAGAGACAAGGCATGTGAATCGCTGCCCAGGGTGGGCCCTGCAGGTTGGCACTGACCCTTGGCTTTGTTCCCACAGATTCTTAGGGTGGAGGGATGAGACGAGCACGATCCTCTTGTGATAACATGTCACTGAGGCCCAGGGAGGTGACGTGACCTGCCTGTCCAAGGTCACACGATGGGGCTCTGCTTCAGATTTGATCAGGTTCAGGGACAAGGACGTCCTCTCAGCAATCCCAGAAATCAGGCCCAGGCAAGGGTTCTGTGGCCT